AAAAAAAAAAATAGAAAAGGAAAAGAAAAATCAGGAAGGAACTTACTAGGTCACCTGGTCAATAATCAATAGGGACTAACTACTTTGTCAATATTTTCCCTGTTACATTTTTGAGGTCAAAATACATTATCCAGCAGAGTTAGACTCCCTTCTCCCTTCCTTCCTCCCCACTTCATTTAGTTTTTTAGGTGACCCCTAATCGTGTAATATTTAAGGAAAGGATGTAATTGAATGATGGATGAAAATGTTACCATAGCTTCTTTCGCCTGTGGATCTGGAGTGTATCATTGCTCTGTTTTGGCTCTTTTTCTGCCTCTGCTGATTGTACCCACTTAAAATGCTGTTGAGGTTTATGTAAATTCTATGTATATTTTATTCCAACTCGGGATACACTGTAGTTTTTATAGCCCACTTCCTATTGGAAGACATGTATATTCCTTGCATCATAAACAATTCTGCATTGAGCAGTTTGTACATATAGCTTTATCCAAGTATGAAAATATCTGCACAGTGGAAGTGTGATACACACACACACACATATACACTCATATATATTTAAAAGAGATTTAGACAGGTATTATCTCAAATCTTAGACTTACTAAAGAAAATAGAAGGCCAGGCAAAGTGGCTGACACCTGTAATCCTAGCACTCTGGGAGGCTGAGGTGGGTGGATCACTTAAGCTCAGGAGTTCAAAACCAACCTGAGCAAGAGTAAGACCCCATCTCTACTAAAAATGAAAAACTGAGGCAAGAGGATTGCATGAACCCAAGAGTTGGAGGTTGCTGTGAGCTATGATGCCACAGCACTCTACCAAGGGTGACAAAGTGAGACTCTGTCTCAAAGAAAAAGAAGGTCTTGGGGAACCCTTAATGGCCTGTGAAGAACTGTACCACTTTGGTGTGAATCCTGCTGAATTATGTAATAGAGATCAGTTGGACATATGGTTGTAATTGGCATGGGAAAAGATTTTGGTTGGTTGCTGTTCTTATTAAATCCACATTTCTTTCCCTTTGAGGATTTAAGCACATTTTTTTAGTGGCGATTCAAAATACATTTTGAGTGCTCTAATTGTACTGTCAATTTATGTTGAGTACTTTGACAAATAAAAAAAATTGCTATCCCACCCACAGGATTTGGAGACCTGGACGATGAATTTCACTCACATGGAAGGTGTCCGCATCTGATCTTATATTAACTTTTCTTCCCTCTAAGAGTCATTAATTGTAGATGTTTTCTGTTGGTAGATCTATAAGAGTACTAGTGACTGATTTTTACTGCATTTAAAAAATCAAATATCATTTTCTAATCATATAGCTAATCATATAAGTAACTGTTTTTAAAGAAATCAGATCATGCACAAAAAACATAAAAGAGAAAATAAATATCACCTGTGAGCCCACCACTTAGCGATAATCAATATTAATTGATTGGTGAATGTCATGCCAAACTTTCTTTGAAGTAGTCATGTATGTATGTGTGTGTGTGTAGAGAGAGCCTGTAATATGTATGTGTGTGTGTGTATATATATATATATATAAATTTTTTATTTTTTGTTTTAATTTTAATTTTAATTTTTGAGACAGAGTCTCGCTCTGTCACCCCAGGGTCAAGTGCCATGGCGTCATAGCTCACAGCAACCTCAAACTCTTGGGCTTGAGGGATCCTCCTGCCTCAGCTTCCTGATTAGCTGGGACAGGCGCCCACCACAACACCTGTCTAGTTCTTCTGTTTTTATTAATTAATTAATTAATTATTATTATTGTTTGAGACAGAGTCTTACTAGTATTTCTATTTTTAGTAGAGACGGGGGTCTCACTCTTGCTCAGGCTAGTCTTCAACTCTTGAGCTCAGGCAATCCACCTGTCTTGGCCTCCCAGAGTGCTAGGATTATAGGCATGAGCCATCGTGCCTGGCCTTATATGTTTTTGAATAAAAACAGGAAACTAGCTATTTTTTATTTTTCTTTCATGAAAATGTTTCTATCTCTGCAGCCCCAAAATACTTGTCTTTGACTAGACCTATTCTTTTTTGTTTGTTTTTCAAACAGAGTCTCAAGTTGTTGCCCTGGGTAGAGTGTCACGGCATTATCATAGCTCACAGCTACCTGCAACTCATTGGCTCAAGCAATCTCTTGCCTCAATTTTTCTATTTTTAGTAACTATGGGGTCTCTCTCTTGTTAAGACTGGTCTCTAACTTGTGAGTTTAAGCAGTACATCCTCCTCAACCTCCTAGAGTGCTAGGATTACAGGTGTGAGCCACTGTGCCTGGCCTTGTGTATTTTTAAATAAAAACAGGAAACTATTGGCTTAGCACCCTTAGCACAGTGGTTATGGGGCCAGCCATGTACACTGAGGCTGGTGGTTTGAAACTGGCCCGGGGCCTGCTAGACAACAGTGACAACTGCCACAACAACAACAATAACAACAACAAATAGCTGGGTGTTTGGTGGGCACCAGTAGTCCCAGCTACTTGGGAGGCTGAGGCAAGAGAAGTGCTTAAGACCAAGAGTTTGAGGTTGCTGTCAGCTGTGACACCATAGCACCCTACTGAGGGTGACATAGTGAGACTCTGTCTGGAAAAAAAAAACAAAACAGGAAACTATTTATTTTTTATTTTTCTTTCACGAAGATGTTTCTATCACCACACTCCCAAAATACTTGTCTTTGACTACACCTATTCCTACGCTCCTCCCTTTAGTAAGCCTTTGCTAGTCCAAGGCTCTCTTTATTTTGCTACTGTGTATTAGTCAGGTTCTCCAGACAAACAGAAACACAGAACCAAAAGCCCGGAGAGAGAGACTATAATGAATTGGCTCATGTGACTATCAAGGCTGAAAAGCCCCACAATCTGCTGATCTGAAAGCTGGAGGCCCTGGCAAGTTAATGGTATGATTGTCTAAGTCAAAAAGCCCGAGCACCAGAGAGCTGATGGTGTAAGTTTCTTTCAGAGGGCAGGAGAAGACCAACGTTCTAGCTCAGAGTCAGGCAGGGAGAGCCAATTCTATCTCCCTCTACCTTTTTGTTTCATTTAGGCCCTCAATGGATTGAATCGTGCGCACCCCCTTTGGGGAGGCAATCTGCTTTACTCAAGTCCCATGAAGTAAATGCTGAACTTTTCCAGAAACACTTTTACAGACATACCTAGAAACAATGTTCAGCTAAATGTCTAGGCACCCACCCTGTGATCCAGTCAAGTTGATACCTAAAATTAACCATCACATCTTGTAAACTTAGGCAGGATAGAGACCTTTTGGAATACGGACGTCTACAGACTTTTTCTCTCCTTTTTCAAGTCCAGGCAATTGCCTGCTGATTAGGCCTTGATATAGTTATGGTGTCACATCAATTTTGAAATGTTAAGAACTTCTCCAGGGTGACCAAGCAACCCAGCTCAGACCCACACCTGCCATTAGGCGTGTTACTGTGTGTAACTGGGACTTGGCCACTCCTTCTGGCCTGTCGTTTTGAATGGGAGCTTAGTTAGCATCCTTTAGGGATGTGGCAGCCTGCAGAAAGCTTTTGCTCTCCCTGACCTCGGTTCCTTCATTGTCCTCAAGCTTTGCTGCCATATGTTAAATTTCTCTCATTAACAAAAAGCATTTTACTTTTCTATTAATTATTTTTCTGATAATCTTATTCTGCTCACTGGCTCTCCTTGCCCATTGTAACTTGAAGTTATGTGACAGAATGGATTAAAAAAAATACAGATCAGAAAACAGAATCTCTGCAACTTAGTTGTCAGCCTT